GTATAACTAACCAATAATTACGGGAATTCATTCTTCATTAGTTTTATTTTAATTAATAGAACTACTATTCATTACACTGGAATATTCTAGGGGATATAAATAATGGTTTTATTTTAAGTAATAAAATTACCATACCATACTGGTGGTAGCCAGGGTTTTCATACAAAGGTTTTTCGTACAAAACAACACCATACAGTATAGCCGGTGGTAACCAGGCATACAAACTAAACATTTTCATATACTACTACAGAATACAGTAACGAACATGCGTTTTTGGTCTTAGGGTTTAAGATCACCCTACACTACTAAAGAGAATATTGGATTTTCTTGAGAAGCATACAAACATTTTTACAATTCAAAGACAAGTTTTCATTACAGAAACATTCTTATGAACTCACCAACTTAAATGTTGATACACTTTCAAAATTGCTTGTATTCTCAGGGAATCAGTAGACAGGTACGCCGCAGGCTTTTGAGAAGACGGAACATATAGAGTCGCGTCTTTTATACTTTTGTTATACTTTTGCTGTATACAAATTATGTATCAAACAGATGTAAATACCTTATATATATTCAATGTAATGGTTGTGCTTACTTTGATTACTATGATGCAATTGTTGTGATACTATACATGACGTCCTCCACCCCGAACGTTTCCGCGGTCTCGGTTTGGGGTGTGACATGATACCAGTTTGAGACTCCTTGTGATGTTTCATTTACACTTGGTTTTGGTGTTAGTTTTGGTTGGATTTTACAACTATGGATTTTGATGGGTTGTTTTTTGAAATATTTTCTAATTAATTATTAATGATGTTTTTTAAGACTTTCTAATGTTTTTATGATAATAATTGATTAAAATAAAAGAAAATTTTTGGGTGAAAAATCACGGTGTTACACATAAAGCCAATAAATTTCCATATTTTGTCTGCTAAATGCTTGATTTGCGATGATCTTATACCAAAAGTCAAGACTTCCATCCAGTCAACTATTGTGTGCATTCTTGTTGGATACGTCCAAAACTCATACCCTTGACTTTTGATTTGCTCGTATACGGCCTCTAATATTTGGCATATCCATTAACACCACAGAAAACAATGGTTAAGAAATATGTACATATTCTATCTAGACATACTAACACATCACAAAAGCGCTTCGCTGGAAATTAACACCCACACAAGATGTACATGGTTGCAACTTATGACAAATTGATTACCCTCTAAACAACAACCATACATTTCTTGTAACATCCCAAATTCAAACCAAAATTTTCATATAAAAATAAAAGTAAATATTCAAATTACAAATTCAAAGATCTACATAAAACCATTTGATTCAAAAACATCTACCTCCTTTAATATAATAAAACCTGACATTTAAACCACAAACCGTAAGCACAAAGCTTGGTTAGTTCCTCAAAATACCACATACCATATAAGTAACGGACCCAACCTAACATACATGCTTCCGGCCCTGCCCATGCATTCATGCCCAACCCATATCATGCATAATCGAACCTAGCCCATAACATACGTAATCAGGCCCAACCATATCATCGGGCCCGGTCCATAATAACATAATCGGGCCCAGTCCATAACATACATAATCAGGTGCAACCCATATAATCAGGCCCAACCCATAACATACATACACATGCAAGAGTTACAAAGACAACTAGCATCCTATAAAATTAATTTAGTAGGACGGCATTGATGCCTTCGACCTACGAGTACAGTGAAGAGACTCACCTCAATCCTGAAGACAAGATTAACCACCACTCCAGCCGACAATATCAAGTCTCCTCTTGCTAAACATATCCATAATAAAACCCTAGTTAACAATTAAGGAAAAGACTCACCCATGAAAGGTCTAGGCTTACAATTAAACCTCATTTGGGAAAAAGACAATTTTGCACTTCCAATACTAAGTCCAAAAGTCAATCCGGCCAAAACGTCAACGGTCAACGCTCAATTGACTTACACCTTGCGTAACCAATCTACCCCCTGCGTAGATCTATTCCATGCATACTTAGATTATGCAATACATAGCAAGATATTAATCTATTTCTATATTTAACTCTTAATCTATAAAGACCAACCATATACTGCTCAGATCTGGTCTTAATAAATGTCGTAAGTGATAAAGTCGATAACTTTATGCCTTTTCATGGCTAAATGGAGCTCAAAATCAAACCCTTCTTTCCTAACACCTTCTAATGTCCAAAAACTCTGGCATGGATGAAAGGTAGCAACCAAGATCCCATTTTTATGACATAACAACCTTAAAAACATTAGAAAACAGTAACCCTAAGGTCTGGAGTAGCTCTTACTCACAAGAACCAAAATCATGGGATAATAAGCATGAAAACTAAGAGGCTACCAAGATCGAACTCAATGAACCATCAAGGTGAAGACTTTATACCTTCTAGAGATGGAAAATGAAATGAAAACTTAGGATCTACAAGCTTGAGCTTCACCAAGCTTCAAAGGTGGGCTTCTCCTTCTTCAAAATATACCAAAAAACACACAAAAGGCTCAAATTTAGCTCAAGAGGATTAGGGTTTCAAGTTGAGTGTCAAAGAGGATGGAGGCTGATGATAAGAAGGGACTCAAGGGGTTAGAGTCCTTAAATAGTGCTCAACATCCTGAAAATTAGGGTTTGCACCCTGTGCAGTTACGCCCTGCGTAACAAAGCTTATGCCCTGCGTATATCATTAAAAACACATTCCTCCATCAGCCACTATGCCATGTGTATCTACATTACGCCATGCGTAGGGCAAAACTCCCATCTTCCATCTCAACTTCAAACAACCATAACTTCTTTGTTTCAACTCCGTTTTGAACGCTCGTTATATGCACAGAAAGGTATTGAAAAGACCCACAATTTTATCTAGTTACTTTTGGATTAACACATTTCGAACTAAAACCCTAATCCATGCAAGAATCCCAACATATAACTTTTCCCTTTCTACCCTTTGGCTCTAGCACACAAATCAAGGGCTTAGATCTCACAACCAATCATTAGCAACCTTCAATAAGGTCTAAACTTTATGTCCTTACAGACCAAAACCTTTGCATGATCGAATTTCAGTCCACTATCCCTGAATTAAGAAATGATCCAAAACAGTGTGTTATATTTCTCTCTCGTCTGATCAATCATCTCATATTTGGGCCTTAAGGACCAGATGTCGTTGCTTTCCCTATCGTCTTGTAATCATAGGAAGATCTCTCTTTCAATAGTTAATTTACAGCCATCCGGACTTACCTTTGCCGAAAAACTTTTGAGAACCGTCTCTCTCTTTTCACTTTCATTGATGTGTGACTATCTCCTGATATCGTTATAAGCTTATAGGTTTAAGGGATACGCCGATACTATCTTATAAAAATTGAAAACCATTGGTCGTAAGTCGTAACATATAAGAAGAATTTGGACGTTACAGTGTGTGGAGTTTAATTACGTAAACACAAAACATTATTCCTAATTTACAGCATTGGTTCTTCATATTTACTCCTATTTGCATAATCTACAGTATATTTCATCATTTTATTCTATATGAATCCCAACATTACTTAAAAGGCTTAAATCCTATAAATCACTTAAATCCCAATTAAAACCTTAAAAATCCCGATTAATCTTCTTTTCTTTATTTTGTTATATATTAAACATATTTTTTCACATCATAAACACACGTAAAACTTAATCCTACATACGAAGAAATTTGGGTCGTTACAAACCCCTCATTCTTACTCTTTCTCTCTCTAACTTCATATTCTTCGTTTCAACTTTGACTCCAATCAAAATCACAGTACAATGAACGAAATCATATTCCAAACCATTCAAGGTCTAAAATCGAACTCCATATAACTATAATGAAAAAAGTGGCCACTTACCACCATTCAGATATGTGAACTTGATCTCTTACCCAATGCTCGCCTATAAATCAGTTATTGTTTTTTTGAAGTGCTTAGTGCTCACCAGTTGCGATATAAAGCTTCGATTTCGTGTGAAATAGAACGAAGGATACTGCAGTACCTCATATATCTGATATATATATATATATATATATATATATATATATATATATATATATATATATATATATATATATATATATATGGTAAAAAAAGAAGAGGAAAACAACGGTCAACTTGACAAGACCGTCTTCATTAGTCATAGTCTTGCAACGATATGTAGGGCGCAAAAAGGGTAATTTTGGGGTCAGGGTTCCATCACTGATGAAGCATGTGTGCAGTAGAGATGGGGAGGAATAGATGTAGCTCGATGGTGAAAATGGAGGAGTGAGGAGAGAAGTAGTCGACGGGTTCCATTATTGATGAAGCATGTGTGTAGTAGAGATGGGGAGGAATGAATGTAGCTCGATGCTGAAAATAGAGGAGTGAAGAGAGAAGTAGTCAACGGTGAAATAGATGAGAAACCAGATTAAACGTGTGAGAGAAAAAGTAGGGGAGTGGGTTTGGGTGGTGGGGGAACATATGAATTTTTTATTAAATTAGTTTTTTACTCTTTTTAGATAACAAATAAATAATAAATAAATTTGAAAAATATATATAATAAGGGTAAAATTGTCTTTTATGTTTAATATGGACAAAAATTTAAGGGACCGTCCGAGATAATAGGGCAAAAAAGTTAGAAACCAAAGGCGTAGATTACCCGAAACCATGAAGACCATCCGTGTCATTTACCTTAGAAAAATTAAATATCCTTGTATTTTTTTTTGTAATTATCTTTCTATTTATTTTAAATGATAATAAATGTTCTAAAATATAATTAATTTTATCATTTGTCAAAATTTTATTTGGATAGAAAAATAAATAAAAATAAAAAGCGTTAAAAAGTTAAATTAGAATAAAAGGTAAGAGAGTGATATTAAATGTTCAAAGAATTTATTTTCTTACCAAAATTTTCAGTTTATCTTTTTAATTATGTGTGGATCGCGTAGGTACGAGAAATGAGGAACAAAATCTCTGTTGCCATCTCCGACAATGGCTCGTCGCCGTGAAAACTATCATCAGTTTTCTTCAACCTCTTTTCCCCCTCCCTTCCTCTTAACCACCATGGCTAATTCATCATTGCTTCCATTAATCATCCTCCTCCTTTCCTCCGCCATAATCGCCAAAAAATCCCAACATCCGCCTGCCCTTAGCCTCAACTACTACGCTAAATCATGCCCAAGGTTTCATGAAATCCTTCAAAACGTTGTCGTACCTAAACAAACAGTCACACCCACCACCGCCGCTGCCACCCTCCGTCTCTTCTTCCATGATTGCATGGTGGGTGGCTGCGACGCCTCCGTTCTCATCTCCTCCAACGCATACAACAAAGCTGAAAGAGACATGGATATCAACGAGTCGCTCGCTGGAGATGGGTTTGACATCGTAGCACGTGTAAAAACGGCTCTTGAGATCGAATGTCCCGGTGTCGTCTCCTGCTCCGATATCCTCGCCGTCGCCACCAGAGACCTGGTGATTCAGGTCGGAGGTCCACATTACGAAGTGAAATTAGGCCGGAAAGACGGATTAGAGTCCAAAGCATCGAACGTCGAGGGTCGGCTTGGGAGAGCGAACATGACGATGGATGACATCATTCGCATATTTGAAGGCCACGGTTACACCATCAGAGAATTGGTGGTGCTAATGGGCGGCGGCCACACCATTGGTTTCGCCCACTGTAAAGAATTCGAAAGCCGTCTGTTCGGCCCTAAACCCGACCCGTCAGTCCACCCGAAATTAGCAGAGAGATTAAAATCCATGTGCGCAAACAGCTCCTCGGACCCGACGATATCGGCGTTCCTGGACCCGATTTCCGCCGGAAACTTCGATAACATGATTTTCAAGAACCTGCTAAACGGACTTGGGGTACTGGGTACGGATCAAGCCATGGCATCCGACCCGAGAACACGACCTTTTGTTGAAGAGTACGCTAGGGATCCGGTAGTATTTTTCAGGGACTTCGCGAGAGCAATGGAGAAGACGAGTGTTTACCAGGTGAAAACTGGAAAACAAGGAGAGGTTAGACGCAGGTGTGATGCATTCAATAATCTCCAAACGGGTAAAAGTAAAACTACGCAAAACATTTAAGTGTTCAATTTCCTTAACAAGTTGCCATTATACCGACGTAGCATGCATGATTATGGCTCAACGGGATGCAAATTTTAAATTTTTATAGGATTATGTAACATTTTGTTTTTATTCAAATAGTTGTTCGTGTAAAATTTATTTAGACCGAGGGAGCATAGAAACTATTATTTCATGACGTTTTAGTGAAAAAAAAAAAAGATTTGAATCTATCATTATACATACTTAAATCAAGAAAAATTTAGATCTATAAAAAAACGATGCCTTAAGGAGTTAAGGAAAGATGTGAAAGATGACTACAATTATAGTTTTTCTTCTTAATTTACTTAACTACGATGGTAATGCCATATATTATCATTCATAAAAGGGCCCCTTGATTTTTTTAAACAAAAGCCATTACAATGCAAATGGTTTTGTTTAACATATTCAAAGACAAGGTTTATTTATAACTTTTCAATCCTTTATTCCAACGGGCCTTTCATTTTATCAAACAAAAGCCTCTTAGGACCAGTCGTCCAGTCCATCATTTTACAAAATTTTAGATTGTGATAATAATAAATTTTTTGATGGTGATGATCAATTGATGATTTGTAATATTGGTCAATATTCAGAATTTGTATAGTGTAAACTCATCTTTAGTTTTTGGATACCATCACCGACTTTTTTTTTTCACATTATATATTAATTTTAGGGTCTAAAGTAATTAAATGGTTAGGCTCATTGTTTTTAAATTTCTATTTTATATATTTTATGATATTCTTTAACAGAAACACCTTGCTGTCATTCTAGGCCGTAACTTTGATTCAAATCCTATAAACTCTGGTTCAATCCCAAGTAAAGAAAATATGTGTGTGTGTGTGTTTTTTTTTAATCTTAAATTAGATGTGATCTTTTCACAAAGATAAGGTTTAGCATGGTTAACATTTATCACTTGAATCTCAAGAACCCATGTTCAACGTTATTTAATAACAATTTTTTTTTCAGTTTAAGTTAAATGGTAAAATACCAAGAATACCAAATCAAAAAACGTTACCGAGCACAATAAATAACATCGATATATTTCAATTATTTCTGATTAAAAAGTAGGTAAATTTATAAATGAATTATAAAAAAATATATCCATAGCTGTACTGTTCAAAGTTTGAAATGTGGTTGATACCTGATGTACTAAACATACAATATTAAATATCTGTGTTCGCCAGTTGACAAGTTGTCGTTGTAGTATAGTGGTAAGTATTCCCGCCTGTCACGCGGGTGACCCGGGTTCGATCCCCGGCAACGGCGCTTTTTAATTGTTTGATGAACCTGCCATCTCACAATTACGCTTTTGGTACTTATTCTGACCTCGAACTTATTATTCTGTCTAATTTTTCTTAAATTTATCAAATGAACTTTAGCAAATAGTTACCAAATATTGCACAGATTATGTTAAGTTAAATGTAATATTGCTCTTGAGCTGGTGCTACACTTGTTGTTCTGTAAGAGTTGAGGTTTTGAAAATATATATGTATGATATAAAAAAAAAAAAAAAAAAAAAAAAAACTAGGAAAACTTGAACTAAAGTTTTTTTATTTTATAAAAGCCTTGTTTGTAACATTACAGGAACTACGAGCATAATAAATTTTATAACTTAATTAATTTGTGTTTCACCAAATTTGTTGTTTATCAATTTTATACGCATATCTTTTCTGATTATAAATCCAGTCTAATAGTAAACCCATTTTTTGACATGATTTTATAGTCAACATATATAGGTGGCAATTTCCATATTGAATCAATTCGATGGTTAAAAAAATTTCAAGTTTTTTGTCGTATCATTTTTTTTATTAATTTTATTTTAAAAAACATAACAGGATAAACTTTTTTTTATTAATTTTTGACCATTCTTTAATTATTTTCTATATAACTAATTTATTCCCATCTTTATGATATATATTATAAAAATCTTTTATCTCATTTTTTTGGCTATTAGTTAGCGAATTCTACATAAATATGTTGAATCAGGTTTAACAAAATTAATCCGAGAGCATAGAGATGCGAATATTAATATCATAAAATGCTAATCAACTAAGATCGTGTAGCCGTATTATAATAATCTACGAAAACAAATAAAGATTTGTTTTTGTCAAACGTCAAACTCTCATTCAATTTGCAAAATACAATTTTGTGGTTATTTTGAATTAAATTTTTTTTCATATGTCTTTTTATGAGTTTCTTATTTTATTAAATTTCACATAATATTCTAATGTAATAATTACACTATATATATATATATATATATATCAATTTCATTAATCGACTTACCTTTTAATTTCAAAATTTTCAAATTAATGTTCATTATTCTTTTGTTTATTTATTTAAATTATTTTTTTTAAATTTAAAAGATAAAAAAATATTTCAATTTTAATAATTCCTTATTTTTCTTATTTTCTTATAAAATCAATGTTCTTAATCTTTATATTTAACTTTTTTTTTAAATTAACTCATATAATACATGAGTTTCACAACTAATTTATGTTTAATAAAGACATACTACGAGAAATGCTTAGAAAATATGTACAAATTTACAGTCAATAATTAAATATTAGGATCAATAGTTGTATTTCAAAATTATTTTTTTGATATATAACCATCAACAAGATTAAAAGGCAGATAGGATAGTAAGGTGTCAACATACCATTCCACAACTTAAGTGTTTTAAGATAAACAATATTTCTTACTTTAATGAAATAGTGTTTAAATCACTAGCGGCTAGCCTAATAGGCTAATACAATTAAACATTTACAAACTTACAATTATGATAAGCCCAAAATGGAAAGCGGATTAACTATTTCTTTTAGGCCCAGTCTTCCAGTAGCGAAAAATAAAAATTTTAATGGCTTCGCCCGGGTTCGAACCGGAGACCTTCAGTGTGTTAGACTGACGTGATAACCAACTACACCACGAAACCGTTGGTTATTAAACAACCTCTTAATTACATTTGTGTTTTTTCCAAAAAACATAATCGAACCAGGACACGGTTAAATCTTGCTTATGTACAGTTTGGTTCGTTGTTCTAAATGTTTCGTGTAAACTTTTTTTTATTTTTATGGTATGTTTAACATTTTTTTTTTCTCATAAACTCATTTTATGTTAGGTCCATTCTCATCCAGAACATAGTCAAGTATGCTAAACAGTACCGTTTGAAATCAAACTCTTTATAAGTTAAATTTAACCATTATGGAACAAGCATCGATCAAATTTTTAGTTTCTTTATTTTACTTTGACTTTTCGATGTTAATCAAGTCATGTTACCACATGATACAAATCCCTAAACATGGTTTCCATTTAGTATTTTAATACATAATGATTAAATTAGAAATTACTTATCTATTGATTTTTCCTTTTTAATTTCGGTCATGATGATTAATTAATACATAAACAATTGTTTGTAAATTAACACAATTTAGCCTTTTAGGTTAATTAATTAAAAACCACATATTTGGAAAAAAATGAATTAAAATAAAAATAGTTTTTTGATGTTTTTATATAATTTGACTTATCGTTCTATATTTACAATATTTAAACTTTGTTAAATATTTAAAAAAAATTAGTATCTGAATATATTCTTTTAGTTTATCTAATATTTTTATTTATGTTTTGGATTTATTATAATATTTAAATTAACAAATAAGTGTATTATTATAACATTTTAAATGTCTGCCGATAATAAGATTGTATTTTGTATTTAATAACATATTTTAAATTAATAGATTAATTATATTAAGTTTGAAATTGAAAGGTCAATAAGGTTTCAAATGAATATTAGGATAGGTAAAATGTCTCATTTATAATATAATATCATATCATATCATATGTTAACTTAACTACATATCATTTTATCAATTGTATTGTAAATAATGATATGAAGATCCAACCACCTATTAATTTGTATCCAAATAGACTTGGAAATTCAGTGAAAGATTATGAGTAAAACAAAAAAGCATCACATCAAATTGATGTTTACACATTTATCCACCAAATTTACTTTCGTAGGCATCAAATCAACATCTATCCAACAATGATTCATGCAGAGCCATATAAAAGTCCTTGTGTTACAATGATCAACAAAAACAAAGATAACATTTCATATAAGCCCTTAACCAAAATGTATGCCATGGAAGATTTAAGAGATATATTTATCAGCCATACCATTTGCTACATAACCCCCATCTTATCAAGAATTTCAAGTAATGACAATACAACGAGTCACACATATTTTCAAAATCAACCTTGAATGTTGTTAATTTGTTTTGATGCATTTTATACCTAATAACAATCTCATTAAGCATTACACAGTTGTCTAAAACTTTACAACATTCAATAAACATAGATTAGTCATTTCTTACCTCATATTTAATAACCATGGAAAGATAATTAGCCAAACTTTACCAACAATTTTGTACTGGAAACTTATTAGACTAATCAACCTATAATCTTTTATATATTTCAAGTATTTGGTCAAAGTTTAAGAATATCTTGATGGGTTTTCTAGGTTACATTAAACATATTTGCACAACGGAATTTACATAAAACATTTTATGGGCACACGCGACCTATAGATCTATTACATTTTGTCATTATAGCAACATACTATGAAACAACTGATCTAATCTACTATAATCGAATATCAACTAGATTATAATACATACCTTTTAGTGTAATTAAATATACTAGCTCCTTTGATCTTCAATAGCTCATGGAAAGCAAGCACAATAATGTAAAAACCTCTAATAACTTATACCCAATAACCTAGAACCCTAGAAATCGACAGGAGAGAGGAGATAGATGTGAAATTCAGATTTCACCTTCTAGGTATGATTAACCAAAATTACATGTCAAGTGGTCCTATTTATAGTTGGTGAATATCTAAGATACGCCTTGATTTGAATAATAAAATAAGATTTAATATATTCAAATAATTACCATATCAGCAACCAAGAGGCTTCTGAAAACCTTCTAGA